GATATCATTGCATTAATTTAGCTTCCCTAATTTTTAGGATCTTCTACCATCCTTCAGTGCCAGATCATGGGTCTGTTCAAGATCCAAGTCCATCTCTCTTGTGAATTTTATGTGGCAAGTAGCTGAGCATGAACACTAAGGAGACTACTTTTTCTTGCTCAAATACACATAAAATTTATCATCTTCATGCTTCAATTCTCTTTTTTCCTGAGCATATAAATTCAGGTTCAACTACGCTCCTACTAATGCGAGCTAAGCATAACAGGTTTGTGTTGCCAATTGAAAGCGCGCTGGAAATTGTTTTTAAGGATGTGTTTTATAAACATACCACATACGTTTTCAAGTTTCTTCTTTCTGTTCATTTTTCAAATGCATGCTTTGTTTGACATTGTTTCAGGTCCCAACAATATATAGTTATATGTATGAGTTGTTTTATGAAATACAGTATAACCTGTATTATCCTGCAATCATAAAATTGTCTTTGACCATCTTTAGATTCAATAATCTCTGGGTTATAATTATTTATATATTATACACCTAACCACTTCGATATTTTGTATATAGTTAATTCCATTAGAGAGTCCTTGTCTTTGGTGGCAATTCCAAATTTAGTCTTAGACTATCATTTTTGCCATTTAACATTCCTAGATTATTATTTTCTGGACACTTTTAGTCCTTTTCATCACTTTTCCTATTTTTAGTAAGGACATTTTTGTCTCTTTATATTTTTCTTTTATTATTTTTCTGGTTTCTACCGGTTTAATTGGTTTATAACTTTAGGTAACCCTTGATTTTTTAGTAATAATATTTTTCAACCGGTTTTAGTAAAGTCCTAAACCAACATAGGCGGACTTACAGTGGGGCAGTGGGGGCAACTACACCCACTCTTACTCCCCCACCCCCACCCCCACCCCCACCCCACCCCCTATATATCCCTTATATGTATTATTTTTTTTTTGAAAGCCACCATAGAAGGTGATTATATTAGAGATAGGCTGCAACAAAATCCGGTGGGATAGAATCCCAATACATCGCATGAGTCTGAGTAAAAGCATGTGACGCTAAAGAATGCGCCACAAGATAATCTAGTCTAGGAACAAAAATAATCGGGTATAAATTAAAAGTTGACAAAATAGTCCTGCATCCATCAATGATATAGCCAATATAGGTTCGCATCCGTGTGGCTTGTGTCATTAACTGGTGTTGTAGATTGCGGCTATCCGTATGTAGTTGTACAAAGAGTATCCCTTTGTCCTTCAACCATGATAAAACCTCTTTACATGCCAAAGCCTCTGCCATTAACGGAGATAGGCAATCGGGTAGCTGCATATTGAAACTCGACATGTATTCGCCTTCGTTTGATAACACAACCGCCCCTGTCGTCGCCCTTCCCGTAGACGCATGAAAACCGGCATCTACATATGCCCTGGGCAGTCCATTCTCGCCAGTGGCAGTAGCAATCGGAGGATGCACTGTCGCTACTACTCCGTGAACCGAGCACCAGGCGTGACTTGCGGCTCTTGCTGCATTGACTACCCGCTTCGGCAAGGGTAATGTGTGCTCCCATACCGCCTGGTTTCTCGCCCGCCATATATAATAGAGGACCGCGGCTTCCATAACAAGTTGGTTAGAGGTGAGTATTTTCATAATCTCAAGAAACCAAGTCTCAAAAGAATCGGCCATAACATGCAAAATAGGTAATGAAGATTCCCGCCATACTGTTTGCGAGAAAACACAAGATACTAGGGCATGCATTGTATATTCATGATGAGTAGTGCACTTGAACATGCTGGATCAATTTCCACTCTTTTCGTTACAAGATTAGTTGTGGTGGGGCGAACATCACTCAATGCCTTCCAGAAAAATAATTTCCATTTAGGTAGAACTTTGATCTTCCATATATGAAGCCAGTCACAAAAACCTCCATCCCTGTGATCATAATTTCCAACAACAAGCCTGTATCCCCCCTTAATCGTATAGTTTCCATTTGGGTCCCCTTGCCAATACCACGTGTCTGAGTAATCTGGGCATATAGGTATTCGGTTAATTCGTGCCACATCATCAGCTATGAACAAGTCCCTAAGTATATGGGGGTCCCAAGTTCCAGTATCCTGGTCAATCAATCCCACCACTCTTGAACCTGCCAATTTCTGGGGCATATCAGTTTGTATCATTGGATCAGGGCCATTAGGTAGCCATGGATGCCCCCAAATTAAAGTATCATTTCCATCCCCAATCCTCCGTCTTATACCACCACAAATTAAACTATGAGCTGCAAATATACTCCACCAACAGAAGCTAGGATTATTCGCCAAAGCTGCCTCCTCGAAAGATGTTTTTGGATAGTATCTGGCCTTGTAAACCCTTGCCACCAGCGACTCAGGCTTTACAAGGAATCTCCATCCATGCTTACCCAACATTGCTAGATTAAAGGCTCGCAGGTCCTTGAAACCCAATCCTCCATATTTCTTCGAGACACATAATTTGTCCCATGCTTTCCAGTGAATACAGCGGTCCATTCCGGATCCCCACCAATATTTATTCATCGCCCTCTGAATTGCTAGACATACTGCCTCAGGGAGTAAGAAAACACTCATAGAAAAGGTAGGCATTGATTGTGCTACACTTTTCAAGAGTACTTCTTTTCCTGCCTGGGACAACAATCTCTTATTCCATGTACCTATTCTCTGCTTTATCTTGTCCTCAATGTATGAGAACACCGCTCTCTTTCTTTGTCCAATACAAGAAGGCAAGCCCAGATACCTGCCAAAATTGATTGCTTTACGGACTCCCAAAAGCTGCGCCACCTGGTCCCTACACTCCTCCGTAGTATTTTTACTAAAACACATACTGGACTTGTGATAATTTACCGCCTGGCCAGATAAAGCTTCATATTCCATCAGACACCGCTTCACCTCCTCGGCCTCATCAATATTTGCTTTAAAGAAAAGCAAACTATCATCTGCAAAAAACAAGTGAGATATAGGCGGTGCTCCCTTGGCTACTCTGCAGCCATGTATTTTGCCCTGTTGCTGGGCCTGCTACAAAAGCATAGACAATCCTTCTGCACATATTATTAAAAAATATGGGGAAAGTGGATCCCCTTGTCTCAAACCTCTGGTAGGAATAACTTGGCCCGACGGGAGACCATTAATCAAGAATTCATACGAGACCGTAGTGACATAATACATTATCAAATCAATCCACCTTACATTAAACCCAGAGCTGTTAACATCTTTCGCAAAAACACCCATTCCATCTTATCATAAGTCTTAGCCATATCCAACTTTAGGGCCCCATCCCACCTTACCACATTGCTTTCTATTTAAGTAATGGCGTATTTCCGCAGCTATTAGAATATTATCCGTTATCAGCTTATCTAGTATGAAGGCACTTTGGGAATCAGAAATCAGTCCCTCCATTAAAGGCTTCATTCTATTCGCTATCATTTTCGCCATTACCCTGTAAACCACATTACTCAACGCAATTGGCCTTAGATCAGTTACATATTCTGGCAATTTCTTTTTTGGAATAAGAACGACATTTGTGCTATTCAGACCTTCCGGAAAAGAGCTAGTATTCAAACAGTTAATAATAAAGGCAGAAACATCACCTCCTACCACATCCCAGAAGTGTTGGTAAAAACCCGGATTCATTCCATCCGGCCCTGGGGACTTATCGGGAAACATAGCAAATAAAGCATTTTTTACCTCCTCACAAGTAAAAGGGGAAAGAAGGATCTCATTCTGAGCCTGTGTTACTCGTGGCTGCATCATGGCAAATAACGTGTGGCCCTTATCCGGGGGGTTACCCGAACTGAAAACCCCATTAAAATAGTCCATAACAGTTTGATTCATTGCATTTCCCTCAACCCACACCCCATCAGCAGTTTTTATTCTATTCAAAGTATTTTTCTTTCTTCGGTCAGAAGCATACCTGTGAAATAAACTGGTGTTTGCATCCGCCCCTTGCAGCCAGTGCTGCTTCGCCATTTGCCTCCAGAATGAGTCATCCATTGCCTCCAGTCTACACAATTCAGCCTCCAGACAATGAAACTCGGCCAATGAAGCCGAATCCCGCCTTCCTCTCAAATAGTCTTGTTCTTTCCGCAGCTGCTTAATTTGTTCCCCAAACTTATGGAATCGGTCCCCTCCCCAGCTAGCGAGTCTTTTCCCACATAACTGTAGACAGTCCTGCATTCCCATATTTCTCCCCTCCTCTCATGCTCCCTCCACCACTCCCCTACACCCCTCATCATGTAGCTAAGACATTTCAAACCTGAAACTCTTTGTTCTCCGTCCCCCACCCCTTATATCATCTCGAATCCCCAGAAACAATGCTGAGTGATCAGAGCTGCGTGTCATCAAGTTTAACACACTGGCCTGTGCATTCAAACTCCGCTAGGCTTCAGTAACTAGCACCTTATCTAGCCTCTCTTCCAACCAGTCCTCTATCCCTTCCCCCCTTCTTCCACGTGAACGGATAACCCTGCATGGGCATCTGCGCCAAATGACAATCATCTATGGTTTCCCCAAAACCGCGTAGGAGACCATTAGGGTGGGATTCCCCCCTCGCTTCTCACTTTGGAACAGCAAATCGTTGAAATCACCTATCACGACCCATAGCAGTTGTGACTGGTTCGCCAAGGTTCGTAATAAGTTTCAGGCCTCAAGCCATCTATTACGCTCTGGGAAGCCATAATATCCTGTCATTCGCTACGGAGCAATCCATGGCATAGTAACTTCAACATCTACATAATTCTTTGAGTAACTTAGTAACCTTGCCATATTATTCTTCCGCCATAGCAAAGCCAACCCTCCACTCAATCCCGTACTGTCTACATAGAATAACCCCTCATAACCAAGCTTAACACGAAGTCTCTCTACATGACTTCGTCTCCATAAGAAATACAAACTTTGGCTTCTTACCGGACACCCAGTCCACTATTTGTTGAACTGTTCGTGGATTTCCTAAGCCACGACAGTTCCAACTAAGGGTACTCATGAGGACGGGTGGGGTTGCGATCCAGCTCCCGCCATAAACAAGTTTTTTGAGAGATCCGTCATAGTCACATCCCCATTGTTACCAACCCGTCGCCCCTCCTCCTCCGCATACCCCTCCTTGCGTCTTTTTGCAACTGCCTTCATCACATAATCCGCCTCCTCCCTACTGCTGTTCGGCAGCGCCAATTCGGCCACCCCGGACTGCCCCGCGGCAGCCTCACTAGTCCGAGGCTGCTGCTCCTGTGTCGGTAACAACCAGTGCTCACCAACTGCCCTCGGCCCTCTTTTAATCCCCGCCCGTAGCTCTGTAGAGTAAGGATATTCTTCTACCGGTAATACCGAATCCCGCGCCATTCGGCAAAACTTATACAAGTGACCGAGCTTTCCATAATAAAAGCAAAAGTTGTGCAGGCGTTCATATTTGAAAGTCACCCAACACGTAGACTTATCCCTTTTGACAAAATTCAGCCTTCGTTTCATTGGTTTCTCAACCGGAATAGCGAGACGGATCCGATAAAAAACCTTCCAAGGAGCACCCGCAACTCTGTCATCTCCCTTCACAAAGGTGCCCAGATAATTACCAATCTGTTCCAGGATTTTGTCAGATGTATAACCCATTGGTAAGCCATGAACTTGTATCCACATCTGTACCGTATCAAGCACAACATCATCCAGGAAACCCCCTTCCACGAGTTGCTCACAAATCAGCGTTGCATTCTCAAACGGCCATGGACCATCATTAAGCACTCGTTGTATATCAGTAACGTGATGAAAAGTAAACATGAATAGCCGAGGCTTTATTTCCGAGACCTGCATACCCGTAACCGGCTGCCATGCTGCCGCCATCACTTGCCGCATATACTCCACCTTCACCAACTTGTTCGTCAGAAAACGTCCCAACAACATCCATCGTTCGGCCTTCCCTGCCGCAGCACCCTCTGACTCATCCAACTGAGGGGCGAATGGCGCAACCTCTTCTTCTTCGAGCGCTAAATCTGCCCAACGAGCAGTGATCGTTGCTACAACATTCTCGGCCTGTCGTTCCGCCATCATGCCAAGAAGACGCATGCCAAAAACTGATAAAAAGCCGGTGATTTTCGCCGGAGTTGAACTCGAAGAAGCGTGAAACCTCGGAAAACCTAGGAGGAGAATTTTGAAACCCTAGATAGCTAGAGAGAGAATTAAAATTCATGAAAAAAAATCAATATAGTAATACTACAATAAATATTATTCCCCTTATATGTATAATTACATGATTAGTATAAGTACAAGAAAATATACTATAAACAAAACTTGTGTTAGACGAGATGGCAGGATATGTGTTGGTGTTTTGAAATAGTTTGGGTTTGAATCCTTTCTTCAACACAACTAAAATTTAATGTGAATCCTTTCTTTAACACGTACAGTTCTAAAAAAATAGTGAGATGTGTAATTTATAATGTGTTTTATATTTGAATTATTTTATCAAATTAATTATGTTTCATATTTTGTTATGAATATTTTTATAAAGTTTTGATATGTTTTATTTTTCGCTATATCCAACAATATTTGTGGTTATACTTTTTAAGTGTTTCATTTTTTTTTTCAAACTTTCTCTTTGTTTTAATGTTTCACACCCACTGACAAAATTTTCTGGATCTGCCACTGTAAACCAATAAAACTGGTTGAAAATAATAATAAAATAAAAATATGAAGAGATAAAAATGCCCTTACTAAAAATAAAAAAATGTATATAGGGTGTGTATATAAGGTATCCGCTTCTTTATAATAAAAAATAAATAAAAAAAAAAAGTGATGAGAAGGACTAAAAGTGTCCAAAAAATAATAATCTAGGGATGTTAAATGGCAAAAATAATAGTTTGGGACTAAATTTAGAATTGTCACCAAAGACAAGGGACCTCTAGTGAAATTAACTCTTTTATATATCAATGTATATATGTTTGTGGGAAGTTTAGTCAATTTCATCCTTTATAATTGGCATTTGTAAAATTAATCATCGATATTGTTAATTTTGTCAAATTTTAGTCCCTCACCCTTACCAATCAATTTCCTTCAACCTTTGTTTCTTGAAGGAAGGGTGTTGTGTTAAAAATATATTTGCAATAAAAATAAAAATACATCTTTTTTATTTTTTTTTTATTTTTTAAGAAAAGCATAAAAATACCTTTTATTAGTCTCTCAGTTATGAACAAATTTGACACAAATAACTAAACAAAGTAAAAATTTTCATTTTATAAAAATACATAATTTTTAAGAGAATACTATTCAATGTTAAGGTTTACACATTTAAAAAAAAATAGAAATTAACGAAAGCTTTTAGGTGGTGGACGAAAATCACACCACAAAAATTTACACATAAGACCAAATTGATTAATCATGCATAACTCAGGATTCAAAGTACAATTCTCCTTCTATGTTTTATTAATATATCTTGTAAGAATATATACACCAAGCACCTTGTGCTCAAATGGCATGCAGGAACGACGTCGTTTTGGGGCTGTATTGTATATATAATTTTTTTTTATTTTCATTATTCTACCTAATAGAGAAAGATCGCAGGTTCACCGTTCACAGCTCTCGCTTCTTTGGCTCTCGACAACTCATCTCACACCGCTCAGTAACCATAGAAAGAACACCGGCGTCCTGCAGGCGGGCGGCGGCGACATCGCCTCTCGTCTGAGTCGTTTCCTCTCAAAGTCTCAGTACTCAATTTTTTATTTTTGTCCTAATTTCTCTTATTTTTCCTAATTACTCTAATTTTATTTTAATTAATTTAATGTATGTGCTTTGTTGAATACTTAAATACATAAATTTGTATACCAGTAGCAGGTCCACTAACACAATGCTCTGTAATGATACCTACAGCCAAAAATTCATACGAATGATTCACTGTTGACTGCTGAGATTGAATTGATAGTCAATGACATGTAAGCTAATTTTTAATACACAGATTTGATATGGCTTATTTTTTATGGGAATTCAAGCTGTGTTGTATTCATTAACTCTCTTCTGCCTAAGATTTTGCAAACCTTATTTCTTTGAAAGATTCATGTCCAATGTATCAGTTGAAAAATCAGTTCAAGCTGCTTTTACATAATAAATCTTTATCCTTATAATTCAAAAAAAAAATACATAAATTTGTTTATCAATTTATGAATTATTAATTATGATTTATGAATTAGGAATTGCCGGCCGTGAGTTTAGTGAGGCTGAAATAACACATACAGTTTAGTGTTAAACAGAACGAAGTGTTAAATTGTTAATCCCTAATCCTTAATTCCTAATTCATAAATCACACCGTTTAAAGTATTCCCTAATCCCTACAGTTTAGTGTTAAACAGTTAAGTGTTAAAGTGTTAAAGTATTCAATTGATTTATGAATTATGAATTTCTATTAGTATTGCCTTAATTCCCCTAAATCTTAGTTATATTGTATTTTATTGATTCAGTTATGAAAAAGTTTTTTAAAAGAAAATCAAATTTTGGAGATTCATCTACTCAAAGTAGTCGCGAAGTGTCAAGTATAAGGCCTCGTATTGAAGCTAATATAGATGAACTTGAAGTTGATCCGGGTAAAAGGAAAAATATATATGAATATAATATCAATGATAGAGATATTGTGCGGAGACGATATCTACAAATGGGTCCTTGTCAACCAAAAAATAATGTATTTCCTTATATTTGGACTATACGTTTGTGTATTTGCTTATAAAGTTGTCTTTGATCCTACCGGTTGCAACTGCTAGTGTGGAAAGAGCATTTTCTGCTATGAAGTTAATTAAGACATCTTTATGCAACCGGATGAGTGATGATTTCTTACATGATTTCTTAGTGCCATATGTTGAAAAAGATGGTTTTGATCAAGTTTCAAATGAAGCAATTCTACAGCGATTTCAAAAGATGAGAGAGCGTAGAGGAGTATTATCCCGTAGTTCATCATAAACTTTGTATTGTAATTTATAATGTATTTTATATTTTGACAATTGTATTCGTATTAGATATTTTGTATTTGAACCTTGTATTTGAACATTTTTAAATTTATGTTGTCTTTACTTCTTCGCCCCCCTGAGAAAAGTTCCTGGCTCCGTCCCTGATGGCATGTACTTCAGTGGAGGCGTTGTTGAGAAAGTATGTTTGAATAGATACTACCAATGTTATAGAGTCAGTAGCATTACAAAAAAAAAAAAAAACAATTTAAAGATATTGTAATTTTTTTTTTATGAAAACAATCTAACCTATCCGTGATAACTATTCAACATAATATGTGGACCTTTGAACTGGAATGAGACTCAAACATGTGTCTTTTTGTTTAAAATAGTAATGATGATGTTATTAAACCACAAGGTACATGACAATATGTTGTAATTCTTAGAGAAAAGGGTCAAATACACCCCTAAACATTATGTGATAAGTCAATTAGGCTCTTAAACTTTACAAAAGTTTAATTACATCCCTTAAACATGTCATATTGAGGCAATTAGGGCCAATTTACTGGAAACCAACAAGTTACCAGTAAATTATTGAGGTTGACCACCGTTATTGACTGCCGCTAAGTACTGTTAACCACCGCTAAAACTTAAAAAAAAAAAATCACCGAAAAAAAATTTTCCGGTCGTCTTCTCCACTGGAGAGGACGACTAGATAGACGTCGACTTCTCCAATGGAAAAGGCGACTACTGGTCACCTTCACCGGCTGGCGACCAGTGGTCTCCTTCCGTCGAAGTTGGCGATCAGCGACGGCCGAGTCGTCGCCGGAATAAAAAATGACCTGCAATTGCAGGTCATTTACCTGTTCTTGGACCTAATTGCTTCAATATGATATGTTTAAAGGTGTAATTGAACTTTTATAAAATTTAAGGGTTTAATTGACTTTCTAGGTAATGTTTATGGGTGTATTTGACCATTTTCTCTAATTCTTATTAACCAAAACAAAATTTATCTTTTTGTTTTTGTTTTTTTTTTTTTTTTTGTTTTTTTTTTTTTTTGTTTAGATGGCATGGTATGAAACGATGACTATATATATATATATATATATATATATATATATATATATATATATTCATCGTTTTAGACCATCAAAAAGGAAAACAAAAAGAAGAGACAAATTTTGTTTTAGTTAAGCAAAATCAATGAAAACATGGTCTTCCAGTTAAAAGTAAGGACTGATCTCAATTCATCAGAGTTTATCAGTGTTCACACTTTTTATTGAAAATATGTTCGAAACAAAATTTATCATTGATAATTTGACCCTACCTATTACATTATTTTTTGTTTGAAACGATGACTAAAAATTAATAATGATTTCTCACGGCAATGAAACAATATTAAAGTAATTATTATTTTTTATTCATACCACAGTTAATAACAATCTAATATACTTTTAAGTTGGTTTTCAACATATATATATATATATATATATATATATATATATATATATATATATATATATATATATATATATATATATACTTTTAAGTTAACAAAGACCAAGCCCGCACGGGCTGAACTCGGCAAATTATGTTGTGGAACCGTGTCTATCTTGCAAGATGGACACAGTTTCAAAACAGTCATAATTGTAAATATGGAATTTAAAAATTATGAACATAGAGTTCATACATAGAATTATGTAATTGTGAATATAAAGTTTAAAAAATTGTGAATATGAAGTTCAAAAATTATGAACATAGAGTTTTATAATTATGAACATAGGGTTCAGTAATTATGAACATAGGGTTCAGTAATTATGAACATAGAACTGTGTCCACCTTGCAAGATGGACACGATTCCACGGCATAACAATTGGGCTTAGCTCATAGGTTCAATAGACATTGTTTGAGAGAAGAGACTAATGTTCGAATCTCAACGATGACAGTACAGGGATTATTTTCAAAATGGATAGATCCCTTGTGACTCTTGTGTGCATTGGCATTTCGTCCTGTCTATTGAGCAATTGAATCACTGTCATTTACATCCTTTCAAATGTTCTGTTGAATCGGGGTATGAGGAGCCTTTGAGGTAGGGGTTCAACCCTTTTGGAGAAGTTAACAAAG